GAAGATCACACTGATGCTAGGATTGTTGTTAAAACATCGAACATCAAAAACTGCTGTATTTTTTTTAATTATTAAAGAACCATGATTTACAAAGTCGCTGAGGGTTGCATTTTACGCATACAATGATTCAACACCAATCCCTCCACCAGTGTCAACTTCCGTCAACCAGTGTTCCCAGAATCCCTCCCCACTCCAATCCCTACTCCACCCCTGCCTGTCAACTTAACTGTCACTTTACAAAGTTTCAGTGGTTGCCACTTAGATCTCTTGTTTTAAGTTTTGTTGAACCTGTGCTTTGTCTATACAGCTATACCCCTAACTCATATCACTGCTATAACTGAAGCCCTGATGCCTGTTTACCCATTACTTCTCGTTCTCCTCTTCCTCCCCAACCCCTTGATTTTCTTCTCTTCTCTGTCCATCTCCTCTCTAAACACTGGATCACAAAACAATTTACTATGCATGACTTTGTAAATGTTGGTGTTTAAAGTTAAAGTTATAAAAATTTTATTTATTGTTTTCTTCTTTTTAAAATTATAAAATTTTTTAAAAGCTTTAAAAAGGGAAGCAGGGGCTGGAGAGATAGCACAGTGGGTAGGGCGTTTGCCTTGCACGCAGCCGACCCAGGTTCGATTCCCAGCATTCCATATGGTCCCCTGAGCACCGCCAGGAGTGATTGCTGAATGCAGAGCCAGGAGGAACCCCTGTGCATCGCCGGGTGTGACCCAAAAATAAATATATAAATAAATAAATGAAAAGGGAAGCAAAAATGTGGGTGAGGAAGTAGAAGTGGAAAAATTGGGACCCTTGAATACTGTTAGTAGGAATGCAGGTATAGTTATTATGGAAAATTACATGACGATTCCTTGAAAAATTAAAGGCAGAAATACCAGATGATCGAGGAATTCAACCCATATTACTTATACAAAGAATTTTAGCCTCTTGAACAGAGAGCAACACTCCAGGAGAGACTGCTCAAAGGACTGAGCACATGTTTGCCATGCAGGAGGCACAAGGTTGATCTCTAGCACCATATGGTCCTTGAGTTTCCTACTGCTATGCTAATGCCAAGAGTAGCTTTTGAGTACTGCAGTGTGGTCCAAAATAAAACAAAAACAAAAGAAAGAGCCACCCCTGTGTTATGTGCAACACTATTCACAATAGTCAAGATGCGAAAATAACCTAAATGTCCATCAATAAATGGAAAAAAATATATAAGATAGATAGATAGATAGATATACCAGTGAATCTTTTTTTAAAAAGATCTGAGACAAGTTACAATATATATGAAGCTTGATTACATTATACTAAGTGAAATGACCAGAAAAATTAAGATGCCAATTTTGCTAATATAGTTAAGAGTCAAATTAATAGAATGAGAGATTGCAAAGATGGTAAAATGGTTCCAATCAGTGGCAGATGGGTAAATGGGAAGATCAGTAGGCAAAATGTTTCAGTTAAGCAAGAGAAATATGCCTTGGAGATCTCTCTGTACAACATTGCCCTATTAATAACCAAAAATTTATCCTTAAAGATGTGCCAATATTGGGGTGGATTAGTAACTCAGTAGGCTAGAATGTGTGCTTTGCATGCTGGAGGCCTAGGTTTAGTTCATGGTTTAGTCCACATGCTCTCCAAACAAAGCCAAGAGAAATATTCAGTCTCAGAGCTGGGAAGAGCTTCTGGAATGGTCCAAACCAACAACAACAGCAAAAACTTTGTCAATAGCTTAGATCTCACAAAAATTTTGCTGTCCCAGTAATTTTTTTTTTCAATCACACCCGGCAGTGTACTCCTGGCAGTGCTTGGGGAACCACAGGGGATGCTGAGAATCAGACCCGAGTAGACCACGTGCAAGGCAAACGCCCTACCTGCTTTACTGTCACTCCAGTCCCTTGTCCCAGTAATTTTTTTTCTGACTTTTTGGCCACACCCTGTGGTGCTCAAGGACTACTCCCAGTGATTTGCTTGGGAGTTGTTCTTGGCCACGCTCGGGAATTATGGAGTGATGAGAATTGAACTTAGGCTTCCAGCATGCAAAGTATGCACACGGCCCCTTTAAGTTATCTCCCTAAGTCATCTTTTTTTTTTTAAAGTAAAACAGAGGATCTATATATTCTGAAATTCATAAATTACACTTCTAATTATGTTCTGATTCACATGTATGAAGAATCACATGACAAAATATTCACAGTAAAGGCTCGATATGCAATTCGAGTGTTAGAGTATTTGCCTTGCATGTGAGGTCCTGGTTTAAACCCTGACACCAGAAAGGGGAAAAAAAGAAAAGGTCAGTGATATTGCTCACTTAGAACATGTACTTGGCATGTGGAAGGCTCAGATTCGATCCTGGGCAACACATGATCCCCTGAGCACTACTTGGAATGACCTCTGAGCACAGAGCTAGTATACCTTCTGAGCATCAACAGGTGTGACCCAAAGACCATTTGGAATCAGGATGTGGTTCAGTGGTAAAGTACATGCTTGGCATGCATGAGACCTGGATTTGATCTTAGGCACTGCAAAAATATTGGTTTTTTTCACTGTACATTGTTTGTAATAGTAAAATTTATAACAACTAGAATGACTCTCATGGAGAGAATGTCATATAAGCTCTGCAATACTCTATCGTAATTTGAATGAATGAAATAAAACAAAATTAGAATCATTTTCAAAGATAACGTTAATTTTTAAAATAGTTTGTGTTTTGTTTTAAAACATGTTTTTAAAAATAAATGGTTCATTTATTTTTATGTTAAAAACTTTTTGTGCCTTTTTTATCCTTAAATGAATCCTCTTTACTGTTTTACCATCTCTTTCTCTTTTCATTTGTAAAGAAATCATTTTCTTTCTGTTATAATAAGAACAGTACTTGTTTCCTTCTTGTTACAAGATTGTATTTCCATTCACAAATTCGTCATGGTATATTAAAACACAAATGAGGTAGCTATAATCAATGGCAGTGGAACTCCAAAATACAATTACAGGCCTTCACAATTTGACTGGAAATGACAGATAGTAATTTGGATTACAGTGCATTACAATTAATGCTAAATTGCCAACAGCGAACACATTTAACCCCCCTTCTCACTTGTAATCAATCAAGCATAAGATAAAGCATATCAGGGAACACAAATCATTACAAACTAAAAGTACAGGCACTCAAGGAAGAAATAATGCAATATCCATTTCTATTAAAGTCAACCTTTATTTAATGTTTTCTTTTGGAATTTAAAAGGCAATTCTTATAGTAAACCATTTCATCAAATTTACTCACATGAAACAGTTAATTTAAAGAGAGAAAAACTCCCAATACATCTTATGAAAATAGTTTACTCTTAAAAGAGAGGTACCTGCCATAGAGGCAGGCTGGGGTGAGGGGATTTGGGAGGATGAGAAGGAAACTGGGAAATTGGTCTGGGAAATTATACTGGTGTAGAGATGGGTTTTGGAACATTGTATGACTATAACTCAATTGTGAACAGCTTTGTAATGCTCTTTCTCAGGGTGATTCGATAAAAACAATTTTAAAAAAACATTTTACTCTTTAAGAACTTAATTGTAACATGTTCTTTCATTGAAGTATGTTTTCGTTAAAAGGATAATAACAAAAACAAGGCACATCTGGAAAAAGAATATGTTAGCTCGAATTAACCATACAAATCTGATAGCAAGTCAAATGTAGTTAAATTAATTAGCTTGTCTTCCATAGTGCCAATTGCATGTACTTTTCCTGAGTCTGTATTAAATCATAGGTATTGGACGTTTTTTTAGGAATAATAATAATGTACCAGAAAACTCATATACTCTCTTTTCAAGATACTAAGTTTCACTTTATGAATTTGAAATTGCACTTCAAGAATGAATTTTTCTTTGTATTGGGTTGTGCCTCTTATAAAGGTTATCATTCTACAATGCAATTATCCAGAATTGCTCATTATGCAAGCTCGAAACAAGGATTAAGTCAGCCTCTTTGTGGTGAAAAATGAACAACAGGGTACGATTTAATAAGAAGAATTAATCTACAGTAGAACCACAATCTCTTAATAGAATTCATGCTCTCTTTATAATTCACTCTCAGAAAGTAATTTAAGGGTTGAAAGAACTGGTTGATAATTAACCTTTTAGAAAGCTTCGAGCAAGAAGGATTTTTTTTTTAATTCTTTGCTATTAGTGTCCTATAAACTAACCATTAAGTATTTGGTCTTGCTCTTATGTCCTCTCAAGTGTCTGGATCCAATTACTAGTCAGGGCTACAAAAAAGAAATAAAGAAAATAATAACAGGACTGTATGGCCCAATATTAGTATGAAGAACTTTAAGCTAGCATTTGGGACACTTTACCATTTTGTTGTTGTTGTTGTTGTTGTTGTTGTTTGTTTGGTGTCTGAGTAATAACCAGGGTTGCTCAAGGATTGCTCTTGGCTCTGTACTCAGGAATTACTCCTGGCAGTGATTGGGGGACAAATGGCGGTCATTGGGGATCAAACCAATATGATGCCAGGGATCAAACTTGGGTTGACCACATTGCTAGCAAAATGTCCTACCCTTTGCACTATCACTTCATCCCCCACTTTGCTGTTATTTTTAAAATCAATATGCAATCACAAAGATCTGGTTCCACTACTCTTCAAAAGGCCAACCAATTAAGAAACTCAGTGATGGTTAGAGAAAGCTTTGTTCAGCAACAAGTCTGCAGGTTGGAAGATGACAGACTCACATTCTCAGAGTGGTACTGCAGAGATAGTACAAGATTAAGGCATTTGCCTTGCAGGTGGCAAATCCAGATTTAATCCTCAACATCATATATGGCCCCCTAAGCACCTCTAGAAGTGATTTCTAAGCACAGCACCACTGGGTGTGACCCAAAATTTCCCTCCAAAAAACAAGTGACCATCTTGTCCTTGTGGTCAAAGAAAACAGATTATATCTTAAAAATATGGAAACCTGGTGTTTATTTTTTAGAAACTCATTTTCCGTGAACCTTATTTTCATTTCCCGTTTGAGTCTAGACGAACAGCTTAAGACCACTCAGCGGTGGTTCCAACCCACTCAGTGGCCTGAGCAGTAGGAACTGCAGACCAGTCTTCTGTGGCAGGCTGAGCACTCCAATCTTCAATAGGGAACTGCTGAATGGGAACAGAGGGCACCTGCACCCCTTCAGACCAGTCTGCAACCTCAGGCTGAGTCGCGGTGAACTCCGGAGCTGGGGCAGTCCATTCACCCTGGAATTCCTCCTTCGTCACGGCCTTCTCAGCAGCTGCCTGCTCTTCCTTTTCAATCTCCTCGGGATCTCTGTAGAAGTAGAGATCAGGCATGACCTTCCATGGTGTTCATGGGAGATGGTGCCTCGCATGCGCAGAACCTCCCGGGCCAGCATCCACCACATGAGGCCCACAGAGTGAGCTCCCTTGTTGTTGCAAGGGATGGCAATGTCCACATAGTGCAGAGGAGAGTCTGTGTTACACAGAGCAATAGTAGGCAGGTTAACGTAAGAAGCCTCTGTGAGGGGCTGGTGGTCAGCCCTGGGATCAGTAATCACCTGAAGTCTCGGCTCCCGGAAAGCCGCCTGGATTTGATTGGTGAAAGTTCCAGGAGTGAAGCGGCCAGCGATTGGAGTGGCACCCGTGGCAGCAGCGAACTTCTGCACAGCACGCTGGCCAGTATTCCTGGATGAGATCACACTGACATCAGCTGGGTTTTCAATGGCAACAATGGCACGGGCTGCCAGCAGAAGCTTCTCCCAGGTTCTCTTCAAATTTATGATGTAGATGCCATCAGTTTTCCTTTTGTAGATGTACTGATCCATCTGGAAGTCCAGGTTGGTGCCACCTACGTGGGTGCCTGCTGCAAGGAATTTGAGGACATCCTCCTCCTTCATCTGCGGGACATCAAGTGCTCTGGACATTGTGAAATTTCCCTTTAAGTTACCACGGTAATCGTGAACAACGCTGTATGGGTCCCTCCCTGGGCAGCGCGGAAAGGGCAAACCTGGTTTATTTTTTAAAAATATATATTTTTGTTCATTTATTCGTTTTTATTTTTTTACTTTTTATTGAATCACTTTGAGATAGACCATTACAAAGCTGTTCATGATTGAATTTCAGTCATATAGTATTCCAACACACATCCCTCCACCAGTGTACATTTCCCAGCACAAGTGTCCTCAGGTTCCCTCCCATCACCCCCAACTCTCCACCCCTGCCTGCCTTTGTGTCCCTACCTGCCTCTATGGCAGGTGCTTTTTTTCTCTCTGTCTCTGTCTCTGTCTTTGTCTCTGTCTCTGTCTCTGTCTCTGTCTCTGTCTCTCTCTCTTTCTCTCCTTTTGGGCATTGAGGGTTGCAATATTGTTACTGAAAGTTTACCAAGAATATCCCTTACCTACTTTTAACCCTCAGATCTTGTCCAGCATGATCATTCCCAGCTATTATTGCCATAGCTGTCTCTTCTCTATATTACCTACCCTGAGCACCACACACATTTGTGGTTAGTTCCAATCATTAACCAGTCCTCCTCACCCCTGTTTTCCCTGGTCATGGATATTATTCTTATATATATATATATATATATATATATATATATATACCACAAATGAATGTAGTCAATCTACATCTGTCCCTCTGCTTCTGACTCATTTCACTCAACATGATATTCTCCATGTCCATCCATTTATAGGAAAATTTCATAATTTCATTTTTCCTGACAGCTGCATAGTATTCCATTGTGTAGATGTGTCATAGTTTCTTTATCCATTTGTCTGTTCTTGAGCACTCAGGTTGTTTCCATATTTTGGCTATGGTGAATAGTGCTGCAATGAACATAAGAGTGCAGATGGTGTTTCTGCTGTGTGTTTTGGGGCCCCCAGGGAATATTCCCAGAAGTGGTATTTCTGGGCCAAATGGGAGCTCAATTTCTAGTTTTTTGAGAGCTGTCCATATTGGAAACCTATTTTTAGAAAGGGTGATTTTGCAGACTAGTGGATACTAAATGGTAACTTCTTGGAGCAAAAATCCTATAAGGGACGGATTCTATTTATTTTTACTTAATTTTTTATTTATTATTGGGGGGTACCCAACAGTTCTCAGAATTTATTCTTGGTTGTGAGCTCAGGAATCACTCTTAGCAGTGTTCAGGGGATCACAATTGGTGCCAGGGATTTAATCTGGATTGGCCACATGAAAATCAAGCCAGGCACCATACCCACAATCCCATCTCTCTGGCTCCTTAAAATTTTTATTACAATTTAGGTAACATGGTTACAATAGCTTTATGGCTGATAGAACTAATATACAAAGTAACTGCACCTTCATAAGATCTTTTTATGATATATTAAAACACAAAAGAGCTCTGTTCAGAAACAAGTCAACCAGTTGGAAAGATGACAGATTCATATCCCCAAAGTGGGACTAACTAAAAGGATAGTATAAGATTAAGGCATTTGCCTTTCATAGAGCCGATCCGGATTTAACCTCTAGCATCGTATATGGTTCCCTAAGCATAGATTGGTAAAGTATGAATCAGAGCATAAAGATCAGGAAACTAGGCTCTAAGGCATACTCCTGGGAATCTGTCCAAAGGTGAAATGTGTTCACTCTTGGCATTAATTGTAATGCACTGTAAACCAAATTACAATCTGTCATTTCTAGTCAGATTGTGAAACCCTGTAATTGTATTTTTGAGTTTCACTGCCATTGATTATAGCTACCTTGTTTTTAATTTTATTATTTTTTATTTTAACATACCATGTGATTTCATAAAAGGAAGTAGGTCTTTCATCAAATTTCACCATCAATTTTAGTCCATGAACATCCACCACTAGCCCTTAGTCACATATGGTTAGACTTTCATTCCCTTCCACGATTTCCCCAACTGTCTGTTAATAATTGTTATAATTCAAGGCCAGAAGGTTTTTATTATTCAATACTATTATTCCCTTATGTTTTTTTCTCTATATATGCCACAGATGAGTGAGATAATCTGATATTTGTTCTTCTCCCTCAAATTTATTTCACATAACATGACACCTTCCAGTTCCATCCACATTGCAGAAAACTGTGATTTCATCTTTTCTTACAGATGCATAGTATTCCATTATATATACACATAGTATTTAATTGTATAAACACAACTTCTTTATCCACTAATCTGTTGTTGAACATTTGCATTATTTCTATCTCCTGAGTTTTATATTCAGCACTGCAATAAACACAGCTGTGCATATATCTTTTTGAATGAATGTTTTTTGTGTTGGGGGGGTAGATGCCAAAAAGTTTTCTCTGCTATGCAAAACCCTTTTATTATTATTTATTGGAGGGGTCACACCCAGCAATGCACAGGGGTTGATCCTGGCTCTGTACTCAGGAAGTACTCCTGGCAGTGCTCAGGAGACCATATGGGATGTTGGGAATCAAACGCAGATCGGTTGCATGCAAGGGAAATGCCCTACCTGCTGTGCTATTGTTCCAGCCCCTGAAAAAAACCTTTTAACTTGATATATTTCCATATATTTACTTTGGTTTTGTTGTCTTTTCCTCTTTAGTCAAATAACTGAAGACAGCTCTGAGGTCCTATCCTTGAAAGTTTTGTGTATGTTTTCCTCAAATAATTTTATGTATTCTAGTCTAATCTCAGTTTTTTAACCTACCTTAAATAAACTTGTGAATTGTGTAAGATACAGTTCCTATTTCTCTTTTTTCCTTTTTCCTTTTAGTCATATGACCATAGAACTTTCCCAGCACCGTTTGTTGAATAGGTTTTCCTTGGTTCACTTCATGCACACAGCTCCTTTATCATAGATAAAATTGTACACAAATCTGAGAGATTATCTGTGGGATCTGTATGCTTTGCTATTGGCCTTAGAGTCTTTGTTTTTTTGTACCACATTGTTTTGATTACTGTAGCTTTGTAGTATAGTTTGAGGCCAAGACATGCAAGGTCTCCCACCTTCTTTTTCTCTTAGAATAGCATTGGTGGGGACAGAGCAATAGTACAGCTGGTAGGCACTTGCCTTGCATGTGGCAGACCCAAATTTGATCCCCTGACATCCCATATGGTCCCCAAGCCCCATGAGGAGTGATCCATAAGCATAGAGCCAGAAGTAAACCCTGAGCATAACCAGGTGTGGCCCCAAAACAAAAAAAAAATAGCATTGCCTATTCAAGAACGTTTATGATCCTATAAAAATTTTAGTAGATTTTAAGTCCTTGAAGAATGTTGGAATTTTGGACTAAGTTCTTGAAAAAATATCGAAAAGCTGGAATTTATTCTAAGTCCTTGAAAAAGTTGGAATTTTGATGGGAATTGTATCAAACCTGTGTAATGTTTTTGAGTAGGATGTTCATTTTGATACTATTAATTCTTCCATTCCATGAACAAATAATATTTTTCCACTCGCTGGTGTTCTGTTTCTTTCAATAGTGGCTTATAGTTTTCAGTGTATATATCTTTCACATCCTTTAACTTAATTACTAGGTATTTTACAGGTTTTGAACACTATTAAAATGGTAATGTCATTATTCCTTTTCTAGTTCATTATTTGCTATAGAAATTTACCAGGTTTTTGTGTGATGATTTTTAGTAAGGTAGGTATTTTTAATTTATTTTGGGTTTTGAGCCACACCCAGCTGTACTTAGGACTTACTCCTGCCTGGTTCTGTACTCATGGATCAATCCTGGCTGTACTCAGGAGACCATCCATGGTGCCAAGAATTGAACCAGAGTCAAACTGTGCAAGGGAAGTGCCTTACCTGCTATTTTATCTCTCTAGCCTAAGGCAGGGATTCTTAAACTTTTTCCACTCATAACCCCTAATTTCTCAGAAGGCTTTAAAACATCGGGGCATATAGCAATTATACAAAACAAGAATTTACTGATAATAAATCATAAATAAGTTTTTAACAATACATTTTAAAGGTTTTTCAAGACCTTCTATGTTCAGTTTAAGAAGTTAGGTTCAGAATGGAGAGATAATTACAGACAGGGCACTTGGCCAACCTGGGTTCAATCGCACAACCAATATGATCCCTGAGAATCACTATGATTAATCCCTTTGTGCAGAACCAGGAGTAAGCCCTGAGTACCACTGAGTGTGCCCCCATTTCCTCCTGCCCCACAAAAACAAAAAAACAAGAAGCTAGGCTCTAATGATTACTCCATTGTATCTATAAATCTAAGCAAGCGTTTCTGGGTTAAGAAATTAATTTATAGGCACATAAATTCACCAGGTAACATTATGTTCTACAAAAAGTAGTATTAATTGCATTTCAGGGAAATGCCTAAATAAGTTTAGCCAAGTTATTAAACTAAATTTATGAAAGGAAGGAAGGAAGGAAGGAAGGAGGGAGGGAGGGAGAGAGAGAGGGAGGGAAGGAAGGAGGGAGGGAGGGAGGGAGAGAGAGAGGGAGGGAAGGAAGGAGGGAGGGAGGGAGGGAGGAAGGAAGGAAGGAAGGAAGGAAGGAAGGAAGGAAGGAAGGAAGGAAGGAAGGGGAAGGCAGGCAAGTGGGGGATGGTTCTGTATTACCTCTCTCCTCCTTTAGCTATTTCTGCTTATCTGATTAGATACACCCACATAAGCAAGATTTAAAATGACCAATTAGGGCCAGAGCAAATAATACAGGTAGTTCATTTGCTTTGCACATGACTGACCCAGGTTCGATCTCCAGCATCCCATGTGGTCCCCCCAGCACCGCCAGGCGTAATTCCTAAGTGCAGATCCAGGAATAACCCTTACCATCAGTGGGTGTGACCGAAAAAGAACAAAAATAAATAAATAAATAAAGACCAATCAGAAATTGTGACTATCTGACTCTGACCACTCCTGAACACTATGCTCAGTCCTTGGTACTTCATTCTTTTGCTCTATTTTTGGTTTAAATATATTATCATATATAAATCTATATATTTTTAGCAGCATATCTCTTTCGA